TGTGTAGCTCAGCCTCTCACACAGGCCCAGGCCCACGCTGAAGGCCTTCCGGTCCATCAGCTGGACAAAGGGTTGGCTTAGCTGCAGGGGCGATTTCTTCACTGCTTGGCTTCTTGAAACGGTGACTATGCAAATGTTGTTGTGACCGTGGCTCCACGGGAGGGATGGGAAGCAGAGCCCTATTTGAAGGAGCATCTCTGAGCACAAGGCATCATGGGAAACCCAGGAGGCCCATCCAAGTGGAGGCAGGTGGGCTCTGCTCCGGCCTGTGTCTCACAGGCTGGAACAATCCCACAGTCTAACGCTGGTCCACGGGCTCACACTGACCTCTAGTGGTGGTCTATTGAAATGGCCTGTTGATGCTGATGCGCATCCCAGGCCTCACAGGTGCATCCTACGAGCTGGACCCCAGACTGGAAGCCCTGCTGCTACGAGATACACTCTCTAACGCCCCCATAACAGAATCCATAGAGACTCTACTTATGCTCCAAACTCCAAAAAGATAAATGCAATGCTGGAACTCTAACGTAAAGCAGAGCTATGAGAAGTAAAAGGAAAGAAAGTTCCTCCCCAACCACCCAGTAGGAGGCAGTGCTGTGCTCACTGAGGACACGCAGGAGCAGGGGCCAGGGAGGAAATAGGTCTGGCCATGAGGGGCCCGAGCGGTCCCACCTGCTCAACTTGGCCAGCTGGTGACTCGACAGCAGCCACAGGAATAAGAGCACACACATGGCTGTGTCCCAACAGAACTTTATGAGGGCAGGTGCTGGGCTGCACTTGACCCACAGGACGCAGTTTGCTGACCCTTGGCCTAGGGCACCCCCTTCAGCGCACAGGTGAGAAAAGGGGATGCGGACAGAGAGGGGTGGAGGCTCGGAAAGGAGATTCTGTCTGAGTGAGAGCGAAGCCAAGTGCCTGGACTCACCCCCCCACCCACGGCTCCTTCCCCCCGGTCCCCAGGCTGCCCCTTAGGAGCCGCTCCTCAGTCCTGTGTGCGGTTGGGAGGGGAATGGGCCAGGGAGCCGTGGGTGGGTACAAAGAGAAGATCTGAGTACACCTTCGACCCCTCTGGTTCCCGCCAGTCTCCCTCTGCTGCCCAGCATCTCTCCATCCCTCATTTATTCGTTCATCAACTCGCTCGTGCGTCTGTTAGGCATGGGCCCGAGCTGTGCTCCCCCCCAGCCTGGCCCAGGTGAGGCTCCCAAGGGCACGCCAGCCCTCTGACATGCCCCGTGGGCTGTACATGGTGCCTCCCCCGACTGGCCTTGCAGGGCAGGTCTCATTTTCTCTGTGTCTCCCTGGAGCATCTGCCTTCTTGTGTGTGTGTGTGTCCACACAATGGTCTGCGTGGCGGGTGTTCAGCACCACGGCCAGAGGCGGAGCCCTGGGGTGCTGGGCCCTCCTAAATGCCCTGGGTCCCCCCCAGACCTTCGGGGTCTACTGCTCTCGGCCTGATGCCAGGCCAGCGCCCCCCAAACTTTCTGCAGTTAAGGACTTCCTTTTGTTTCTTTTTCCCCCAGTTTGCAGTTTGTCATGGACTGTCACTTCTGTAGAATCCAGTACATGCAAAAGCTAGAAAATGAAATGACATGTAAAATACATTGTATTAGATGCAACAGACATAAATTTACTCTGTAAAAGAGCTGTAAAAGTTCCTAAACCTCCAGTCTGTCTCCTTGCTCACAGTGAGCGGGGAATCAACAGCTGGTGAACCTGAGGCCGAAGTGAGCTGCATTAGCCCTGGCTCCTTTGCAAAACCTGCCTTGGCATTAGCTCGGGTTCTGCCTGGGGTCTGGGGGCCACCACGCTAGAGCTCAGGAGGCTCCTGGGACACAGGACCCCAGGTCCTGGCTGAAGTCCTGTGGTTGTGTGCCCTCAGGGTTGGCCACGGGGCATCCCAAGGCTTCTGGCCCTAGGTCCCAGGCCCCCCACCCACCGGCCCTGCAGGGGTCTCAGGAGGCAGTGGATGTGCGTCACTGCCAAGGGTGAGGACCGGGTCCAGGGTGAGGAGGACTGCTTCTAGGTGGGAGGTTGTCCAGCCCAGGGACCACACCTCTTCACCTGGGCCAGGGACCAGTCCCAGCTTCTTGAATCCTCGCCATCCTGATCTTGGGAGCCCAGGTGAGGTCTGGAACCAGATTCCTAGGAAGAGAAGGCTGCAGGGCACCCGGAAACAGGGAGACGGACCTGCAGGGGCTGGGGCTGGGGCTGGAGCTGGTGCCACTTATGTTCCCCAGGGCCTCCCAGGAACCAGGGACAGGCACTGCCCACAGCCACTGGGCTTCCTGGAAATAACTGACCAGTGTCCGCTGGCCTGGGGGTCCCTGTCTGAACCCAGACTGAGACTAGGGTTAGCTGGGAGGCTCAGCCCATCACCCTGTGTCCGGTCACTGGGAGGGCCTGTCAGAGGCTGCACAGGGCCTGGGGACAGCTTTCCCGAGACCGCATGTGTCAGCTGGCTCAGCAGGAATTAACTCGGGTCGGAGCAAAGCGGTGAACACCTTCCGGAGGAGCGGCATCCACGGCAGGGCGTGGGGCACCTCAGGTGGTAGGGGTGGGGCGCTCGGCACGAAGCCACGGAGCTTCCAGGTGGGGCACCCGGAGTTGCCTGGATAGCAGGCCACGGGCTCGCTGGCACTTCTGTGTGATGGACAAAAGAAGGCAGATTTGGGAAACAAGAGCGTTCGTTCCCACAGCCCTCCTGGACCTCGGAATGAATCTTTCACGTCCTACTGAATGTAGCTGACGTGTATCGTCATTCTCTCCTTGGTGTTCATGAGGCCAACGCTGCAGAGAACATTCCAGTCACATGGCACAGCAAAGTGGCGTCCCCAAAGCATGGGCTCATAGATAGATGGTAGACAGACAGACATCGTCATGGAATAAAGCCATTCACGAAAAAAAAAATTGTAGAAACACGCCCTGGAAGAGGCTCGTGTGCGTCCTACATACCTGGAACTTTGACCCGATCGGCAGGATCAAATGTCTCTTAAAAAATGAGCTCTAGGAAATCAGGAAGAAAAACAAGAATGAGCTCTCTTCTTACCCTATTATTTATTTCATTTTTCAGATGAGGCGGAGACAGGGTGCTCCCCCATGGGCTCTGGGGCAGGGGTTCGGTCCTCCCCCAGGCCTCTCTCGGTCCTTGCTGGGGGTCACAGAGTTTGGGGTGGAGGCAAGGCCACCTCCTTCTCCTGCCTCCCCATGAGTCCGGCTCCTCTGTCGGGTGCCCCACGGCACCTGGTGACTCCGCTGCTGCAAAGGCTCCTGGTCGGCGCGGCAGGTGCGATGTCTGTGCGTCAGGTGTGACGTCGGTGCGCCCAGCTGCGGCACTACTCACATCGGCCGTGCCCCCCGGGGCTTCCCAGCTCCCGCCCAGTCTTCCCAGCCTGTGGGCTCGATGGGTATTGGTTCCTGGCATATTTGCCAAAACCCGAGTCTCTGGTCACAGAGGCAGGCGACTCCTGCGCTGCAGTCCCAGACTTCATCCCTGCCGTGAACGGGCCACAGACTTCAAGAAGCAGCTGTTCACCTTCGGTAATTAAAGTTAACACGCAGTGTGCAGTGCCTGGTGTAAACGGTTACCTTTTTAATCCAGAAGTGAATGATTGCCGGACTGGGGAATCCAGCAAACCCAGTGAACCCCAAATGCATCGAGCCTGGGGGCCGCCCAGTGGACTCCCCAGTCCAGGGTTCGGACGTGCTCCTGACACTTTGCCCAGCCCTTTTATGGACACACATGGTGCCCCGGTGGGGTTCCCCACCCCAGCCTCACGCCTCTCCGGAGGCACGGCAGGCTTGCGTTGGGGTCTTGTCCTTGCCTGTCCCCAGCTGGAGGACGTGGACACGCCACTCAGCCAAGTTAAGCTGCAGTCCCTCATCCAGGAAATGGAGTTAACTGTAAACCAACACACGTCTTTGCCATTCGGATTCAGTAACCTCTCTCTCACGGAGCATCCTGGCCGCACACACCGAGAAACCAGCGTGTGCTGCGGCCACTGCGGCTGACGGAGCCGGAGGACCCCGACCGGCCACCCTCAGTCTGGAAGACCCTCCGGCTCTGAAGCTCCGGCAAATGACTGACCAGATAACATTTTGCTGAAGCAGCCGCACTTGGAAAGCTGGGCGGAGCATTCCACAGAGCGTCAGGGTTAAACATTGAAGTCTGCCGCTTCTGGTGAGGACTGGCTTTGTTTTCAGAGTGGGATGTTTGAAACGAAACAGAAAGACGCTCACGGGCACAGGGAGAAAATTGAAGTTTGTCCGAGGAGGGTCAGGTGTGGAGGAAGGAGCGGAGGAAGGGGAGGGAGATAAACGTGCGCCTCCGGTGACAAAGCAAGCCACGGGGAACTGACGCAGTGACAGGACGGCGACTACGGACAGACGGCGGTCGCTTCGTGGGGCGGGTACCTACGGAATCACTGCGCGGTGCACCTGACACTAATATGATGTCGCGTGTCAGTGATAACCTAAAGCAATAACAAAATTAAAAAGGGTGTGTAAAAGTTTGTTGAAAAGGAATGGTCCTGAAATACAACATGTTTCTGTCTGAATGTTTTTGACTACACATCTCCAGTGGGTGACGAGGAACCTTCCGTGCTCTGAGTGGAGCCGATCTCCAATGCAGCTGTTTGAAGCCAGGATGGTGTCTGCAGTTCTCACCGACGGGGTCCCTGTTGTCCGGAGTCTGGGTGGTGTGGGGACGCCAGGCAGGAAGAGAGTGTGAGGGGCGGGGACAGGATCCGCCCGTGTCCGTGCAACGCCCTGCTCCGGGCATTTAGTGTCTCCGGAGCATCCCACACACCTCCCGCCTCCTTGGGCGCGGTTCTGATGACCTGGGGCCTGGCCTCACTCTCGGTACAAGGAGAACAAAGGTCTTCGACCTCAGGACCGTCGCCTCCTCCGGGCGTGTGTGCGGCAGGCGCACCTGGAGGACACGCCACCCTCTCTGGCTTGGGGTGGTACCCAAGCCGGCCGAGCTTTATTCAAAACACACTGGGTGCCTTTTTGTCTGAGCAAGCTGCTCCTTTATTCTGAGTGAATGGAATTCCCGGTGAGGCCCACAGGTGCAGTGAAAGGGGCCCTGGGTGCTGGGGACACAGCGGCAAGGCCACCCTTCCCGTCTGAGATAATCTCCCGCCCTTCGGCCCCTGTGCCCTGCCCCGAGCCCTCGGATTCTGCCGGATGCAAACACGTATTTGTGGAACTGAGTCAGCTTGGGCTGCCTGGGCAGGTGTGTGAACTCCCTGGGGACAAACTGTTTGCCGGTTGCTCATTTACAAAGCAAAGAGCTGGTGCGGCATGTGGACACCCCCTCACCTCTGCACTTGCAGTGACTCAGGGCAGAGTAGGGTCACACCTGGTCATGGTTCACCTGCACAGCCCTGCAGCGGGCCTGCGGTGGCCGCCCCGTCCCAGAGGACAGAACCAGGCCTCTTCCTGACTCAGGGCCCGTTTGCTCTGCACGGCACTGGAACCCATTTCCTCCTCAGCCCCCGGCTGGGCAGGAGTCTGCACGCAGGTGACCAACGACCTGTGGGTGACCTGTGTTGAAACCACAGTGACCAAGCACAGGTGGGTTGACGGGGGTCTCTAGAAGTTGCCGCAATCCGACTGAATTTACCGCAGTGCTTTTAAACCCAAACTGCATTTCGCCTCCTCATCCCATAGGCCGCAGGGTTATGAATTTTATCTTCCTTCTGTCTTTTCACCTTCTGGTCTCCTTACAAAAGACCCAGGATGGGTATCAGCACCGTGCACACCACTGGGCTGGTTGCATCCGCGACGGAGGGTCCGGGGGGCCGGGTCCTACACCCCGAACTCTCGCCTGCTGCCTCCGACACCTGGTCCTAAAGAGACCAGTTCCAAATCCCTCTGTGTCAGAAGTCTCTGTTCACGGAGTGAACTAAGAACGCCTGGTCCCTCACCAGGAGAAGAGCTTGCAGGTGCTCAGGTGCGTTGAGCTTCTCCCAGGAAAGGCTCAACACACGCCTTCACCGCTGTGGACAGTGGGGCCTGCCGGGGGGGGTCTGTGGGCAGTGGTCATTCCAGCACTGCGACCGCCCCACGGGCCCGAGGGAGCCCCCGCTCACCTTCCCCACCCTCTCGGGAAGGACCCTCTGCAAGGGGACGTCCTTTATGAAGAACAGAGTGTCATGAGATGCAAAGACTATCACGGAATGGCAGCCAGCCAGGGCTGGCCGTGACCCTCCAACTGTCCAGCCGGGCTAACCCGTCGTCCACACCTCCAGTCACCGAGCCCTGTGACAGGCCTCAGAATAAGATCCCGTCCCTCGGAGCCTCCTCCATCGGCCTCCTCTGCTCCTGCTTCCGCCTGCGCCGGGCCTTCTGGTAGAAGACGATGATGACCACGGTGGTGCCGTTCAGAAGGAGGACGAGCAGCGTGAGCCAAAAGGAGTACCGGTAGTGGTGGGTCTGCACTCTGCGGGTGGCCGATGGTTGCCGCGGGTACAGCGCCCCGGCCAGCTCCTCCGAGAGGCCGTTGGACTGCACGTTCCCCACGAACAGCACCAGGGCCAGGAAGGTGAGGGACGCTGGAAGGAGAGGAGGCCCGTCAGTGACATGGTGACACGTTGTTCAGCGGCCCTGTTTTCTTTGTGTGACTGTGCTCTGTGGTCCCTGACCGAACCTGCTCTGGGCTCTACCCTCTTCCAGGCACGGAGGCGGACGTGAAAGGAACACGAGGCCCAAGCTGGATTCTCGGCGCAAAACACCTTTCCTGGTGCAGGGCTGTGTGCCCGAGAGCAGCCACGGGGGCTCAAATCCCAGCAGTAGGCATCGCCATGGACCTGACGTCTCACACAGCCCTGCCCAGGGCAGTGCACATAGTAGGTGTGCTGATAGCGGGAAGCTGTCCAGAGGGGACTGGGCGAAGGACAAGACTTGGACAGGCTGGGGAAGGACCAGCAGCGTTTCAACTAGAAGCAGCAGCCCAAACACGGAGGCGCTGCAGGCAGTGAGCTCGAGGGCCGAGAGGCAAGCCCAGCGGAATGGGGGGCCGCACGGAGGGCCCTGAGCACTGGACAAGGACAACGAGAGCCCCCGTCACTGGGAGCGCGCCGCGCCGGAGCGGGGAGGGCTGGGACTTCACTGCGCACAGTGGAGTATGTGTAGCCTTCCACCAGGAAGGCTCTCCGTTCTGAACACATTGTAGAAGAGAATTTTTCCATGTTCTATCCTCCCTTTTATTATTCTTCACAAAGTCCTCCACCAGAGAATGTCCCTTGAGGCCTGGCTCAGTGGATTGAGTGCTGGCCTGTGACCAAAGAGTGGCCGGTTCAATTCCCAGTCAGGGCACAAGCCTGGGTTGCAGGCCAGGTCCTCGGTAGGGGAAGAGAGAGAGGCAACCACACAGTGATATTTCTCTCCCTCTCTTTCTCCCTCCCTTCCCCTCTCTCTAAATAAAATCTTTAAAAAAGCAAAACAAAACCAATTTGGAAAGCTACCCAGGCCTAAGGAAGGAACGTGATTCTGGACTCAGACAGCTGAGCGGGTGGGAGGTGGGGGACCATTCTTCCGCCCCTCCGTGGGTTTCAGCTTCTCTGAGCCCCACTCCTTGTCTGCCAAGGGGGAAAGCCGGAGACAGAGGGAGACTCAAGGTTGCCTAGGGCGGAGGGTGGGCTGGCAGTGGGGAGCGGGCCCAGCTCAAGGACCCCGGGCTTCTGTCTGAGGTGGCGGGAACATTCTAGAACCGACTGTAGCCGCCCTGCCCGTGTCCGCGGGTGCAGCCGGGCTGTGAGCGTCCCTGGGTGGTACCGCAGGCAAGCCGTTGACGGAGAGGGTGGGGTGAGGGCTCAGAGTCAGGGGCCGAGCACACCGGGGGGGCCATCGGGAGTCCCCAGACAGAAGTCCTGAGGGACATACGCCACGGGAATCTTCCTCTGCTGACGCTCACCCAGAACTAGACGGCCGATTTGGCACCCAGCGTGTCTGGGCCGTCGCCGACCCCCAGGGACCCTCCCAAACAGCCCCTGGGGAGCCTGGCTGTGGGGCGTCCGCTGCCCCTGATGACAGACTTTCATCCTCCAAGGCCCCTCCTCCGGTGCCCCACGAGGCTCGCACCCCTTCATTTTCCTTATTGGACCCTTCTGACGTTCCTCATAAGTGCACAGTCCCAGAGGGGCTGCAGGAATCCGGGGTTAAAGGATTTTTTCTGAAGTGGGTGCACGTGGCTTTGATTGGACTCAGGGAGGGTCAGCTCACAGGCTCGAACCCTGGCCTGAGCCTCTCGGGCCCTCTGGGACAGGAGGCTGAAGAGCTGGCTTCCTGTCCTGCCCTCTCCCCTCAGGCCCTGTGGCCTGCCACATCCCTCACCCTGTCCCCCTGGTCCTTGGCTGAGGACCACGTGCTGGGGCAGATGGTTCTCTCAGGCTCCAGTGTTCTCTCTGCCCCTACAGTGGTCAGGCTGGGGTCAGAGGGCACAGGCCTCCAGGGCAGGGGTTTGGGTGGGCTGGGGTAGGGGCAATTTTGCTGTGATTTTCCTGGAAGCAGAATCCGCTCTGTTCTTTCCAAAACAATCCCAGAAACCCACGTCCTCTTGCCGCCTGGGCCGAGGAGAGTTTGTTCAAACCCAGCCCACTTCCCTCTGCTTCCCGGCAGGCGGGGGGCCCTGCTCGCGGGCTACAACCCCAGGCATCTGTGCGCACAGAACTCTTCTGCGGGGGTGGACAGAGATTCCACTGAGTCCTGCAGACCTGGGGCAGCGTGGGGACACCACGGGGTCCCCAGGCATCAACCCAGGGGAAGGTCTGGCCTAGCCCAGCGTGGGGGTCAGGAGGCTGAGGCCGATCCAGGGGACCGGACTCAGGGCCAGAGATCTTCCGGGGTCTGGAGCCTGATGAGAACCGGTCAGAACCGGTCAGAGCTGAGACCTCCTCCCAGCACAGCAAGGTCCCAGATTGTTCCCCCGCCCACCGCAGCCTCTGCGCGCTAGAACTCGCCCCAAGCCGGGAGAGGAATGTGGCCCGGATTCTCTCCCTGTCAAGCCGCTCTTTGTTGTGAGAAGTAGGCGGGAAGGAGGGTTTTTAAATGCTTTTCTCCCTCCATGGGCACCGGGCCTCTGCCGTGGGCACAGTCGGCTGGGACCCAGCTGTAGGGGGAAGAGCCAGCCTTGCAGGAAGCAGGGCCCCTCTTGCTGACAGGAGGATGGACTTGAACCCTGAGGCCATAGGCCAACATCGGCCCTTCTCTCTGCTGTTGCCGCTGGACTTTCCTCTCAGGACGGACCCCCAACCCCAGCACCAAGGTCTGCTGTGTCTGCAGTGTGTGAACTCAACCCCACAGGCCTCAGATATCACCCCAGGGATGGGGAGAGGGCTATCCAGTGAGAGTTAGATCTGGGGGAAAAGGAGTCTTTTCTCCTGGGGTTGTTTCAGTGGATGATGAGCCACGCCCAGCTGCTTAGCAACAGAGGGTGCGCTGGGGACGTGCAGAGGCAGCACACCTGGGGAAAGAGAGTTCCGGTGGTGTGAGCCGAGGCCCTGATCCAGCTGCACCTGAAACCCCTGCTTCGCTGGACTTCTTAGTTACATGAACAAAAATTAAAACAGTCTGTTTACCCGGGCAGTCTGCGCCAGTACAGTTCACCTTGGTTTGGTGGACTAAGGTCAGGGATAATCGTAGAAATAGCCTGGGAATCCTAGCCCTTGAGGTGGGGATGTATGAGCTTGTCACCACATCCCAGCCTCTGACACAGCCCCTCCATGAGACTGGGCAGCAGGGCCCTTGACCCTGGCCCACTGTGGACGCTCAGAAGCTTGAGGGTGGCCTGTTTTGGCCACCAGGCCACTAAATCCCAGAGAGGAGGAGAAGAGCTCGGCGTGTGTGAATGTGGCTGGACCGGCTGGGGTGTGAGTATGCATCACTGTGGCCACCCACGCAGGTTTGCCGGGTCGGTCCAAGTTCCACCTGGTGCCCTAGGTTAATGAGGGTGAACTGCTCTTTCAAAAACATTTCTGTTTGATCCGCAAGTCCCGTGGCCACCTGGCGTATCTGTGCCCTGTGCGAGCTGGGGCCAGGTGGCCCAACCCCACAGCTGTCAGCCTGGAAAAGGCCCCCGTGGCCGTGTTGGTGCGGCTCAAATCAGCCAGGACTGTGCCGTCCGTACACCCCCTGGAATTCGCCTGTTAGCAGGATGGGCCTCCTCCAGTCTTTTCTCAAGGTCAAGCTTTCACCCTGGGGAGAGGGAAGGGGCGGGAGAAACCTGGCTGCCTGCCAGGAGCAAAGAGGCACGGACTGGACCATGCCTCTGGGCTGATGTGGCGGCCACTGTGGGAGTTAGACTCACAGTGACTCAGGCTGGGGTCCATTTCCTACCTGGGCAGAGGCCCCCACCCCAGCACCTTTGTCCAACAAGCTAATAAAATGACCTAGCCGCACCGCACAGCAACACCCTGGGCTCACAGGCCACCCACAAGATGGGCGTGGGCGGCAGATTCCCCTCCGTGACATTCTCTGTGGGTGCCTGTGGCCCAATCAGGCGGCTGCATCACGGATGTCGGCCGAGGCTGACGGTTGTTATGTGCAGGCAGGAGGGGAGTAGGTGTGAGCGTGTGTGTGTTCTCTGTGGGACACGTGGACTCCGAGTTAGAGTGAGACACGGGCCGGAGCCTGGGGAAAGCTTGAGGGTTTGTGTGTGTCTTGTTTTCGAACATCTTCTGTATTGGTTGGTTTTAGAGAGAGGAGGGGAGGGCGGGGGAAACGCCGGTGTGTTGTTGCGCTTACCGATGCGTTCCTTGGTGGCCCCGGACTGGGGATGGGACCCGCAGCCTCCGTGTGTCAGGGTAATGCTCCAGCCAGCCGAGCTACCCGGCCAGGGCCCCTGTGTGTATGTGTGTCTCTTTTAACCCCTTGCACTAGGTAGTCAAAAGCAAGCCTGGTGCATGTCATGTATCTTTACACCTCCCAAGCCCTCTGCCCCCCTCGCCTTGCCTCTCTCCCAGTACATTTAAAACAGACTCTTATTCCCAGAGACGCTTAATAAACGCTGCAAGTGTACAAAAATAACCCCAGCGTCCGGGTCGCATGGCTGGACTGGGCCTGTGCGTGGGGCAGAGGCAGAGGCAGGCAGGAGGCTGCACTGCGGGGCGGGGCCCGGCTCCCGCGTACTCACCGCTGAGCCCGCTCCAGGTGTACACCCCCAGCGGCCCCAGGAACGTCTGATAGGGGTTGCTGATGCTGTTGTAGAAGGTGATCCCCGAACTCACCAGCGACGTGCACAGACTGAGGACCAGGAACGAGATGACCACCGAGTGCAGAGTCTTACAGGAAGACTCGTTCAGGGTCCCTAAAACTGAAACAGTCGGGTAAGCACTTAGTACAAAATGCAAATACCAGCTCCGGGCGGGAGGCCGCTCTGCACCCACCTGGCCTTCCTGCACATTCTCCCAGGACCGTACAGCGTGAGAGACCCTCGGGACTGCTGGGGCCAGAAGGAGTGGGACCCCAGCGTTCCCACTCATTCTCCTCCTTGAACCTCAGGTTGCAGAGTAAGGCTGTGGTGGGAGCCATCCCGCTTTTAAGTGCTCCCCTGAGTGTGTGCCCCCTGAGTGTGTGCCCCCCTGAGTGTGTACCCCCCTGAGTAAGCTGCTGCAGGCTGGGCAGCCTTCCCTTGGGACCGTCTGGCTTCAGACCCGGGCCAGTGGGCGTTACTGGAAATCCACTGGAGCAGTGACCGCTTCTTCTCCGAGACACGTGCAGAGTGGGCCACCCTGAACCCCCGAGGCAGTGGGGACCCGATAAACCCTGAGATTTCTGAGGTGTACCCAGAAAGCCAGGAGTGGCCAGGAGAGGAAGGGCTCAGGGGGGTGGCAGGGGCGGAGCCTGGCCCTGGCAGGAGGGAAGTGCCTGCTGTGTGTGCACCCTGAGGTGACGGCCCCACTTCCCCGCTGGAAGTCACCGGAGCCGGAGAGGTCCCGAAGTGGCTCGAGTGAGGCGGTGGCCCTTGGGTGAACCATCAGATTTCTTTCTGAGCAGAATTCCTCTGTGTTCGAACAGAATTTTGGAAAACGTGCATGTTTCCTAGGCACAAAGGAGCTCAGGACACAGCCATGCACTTCTGTCAACTGAAGCCCAGGTGCCCCGGGCCATCTTCCTGTCTCTAACCCGCCTCCCCCGCCCCTTCCTCTTAGCAGGGGACTCAGCCACCCGACCCTTAAAGCCCCAGGGGAGACTAGAGTGGACACAGAGGGAGATCTCGGCTCAGCACCCTGGAGAGGCTGATGGCGCCGCCCAGCCGGGGCCACGGTTCCACTCACCTGTGTCCATCCCACCAGCACCTGGGGCCTGAGCTCTTTCTCTGTCTCTGTCAATGACCCACGACGAGGTTAAACCCTCCGCACAGCCCTCCTTGTTCGGTATCATTGGTTAAACACCTGTTGCCCAGGTGGGGAAGGGTGGGGTTCAAGGGGCCACCAGTCCTCTGGGGGATGGGCCACCTGGCTGGGACTGGCTGGGACCTCAGGCTGCGCCTCTTGCTTCTATCTGGCTCACCTTGGACCTGCAGCGACTGGGGGACCCCTACTGCTTTACGCCGGACACACCTGTTTTGAAACTTGTGGAAGGTGACACTGGACAGTGGGACAGGGAAGGAAGCAGGGCACAGGTGCTCAGAGGGGTGGGGTTGGGGCTGCAGGTGCCTCAGAGCTGGGTCACCACCGGAGGGGCCGCTTCCTGGTCCGCACTCGCCCCGCCTCCTCTAGGGAACCGGGGCTGGGGCCTCGCGCACGCTCCTTGGCCGAGGAGAAACCGTTCGGATCTCAGCTGGAAAACGGAAACTTCAGGACAGAAACTGTGCTGTGGCCCAGGGTCCCCAGCCAACTACTGTGCTTTAGACACTTGCTACGACCTGGAAATGGATGTTTTTTCACAAGTGGCGAACATTGTACTTTTTCCCAGTAAATTAGAAAGTGACAATCAGGCTTAGCTTTGTGTCTGACTGTCGGTGAGATCCAGTAGACATGATTTTTCAAAAGTGAGTCAGTCGGAGCCTGATGACTCACCTCCCTGTGTATTAATGTGACAATTCATCTTCATCTTAGCGGCCATATTTTAAAATTACATTTCGGCATTCTGAATCCCCTGCCACGCAGGTGTGACAGCTGTCTGTCCCCTCCCCTGGCTCAGAACTCAGACGATGGAGACTGGAAATTCAGGGACAGTGAGCCAGAATGGAACGACAATAAACCACAGAGCATCTGACAGCTGCTCTCTGCCTGCAAAATTAGCAAATACATTCCGTTCTTTTTCTTCCTTTCAGGGGCCAGACTTCGGAGTCAGGAAAAGCACCTCGCAATCAGAACTAATTGCCTGGATGTGGGCAGCCCCGGAAGGGAGGCCAGGACGCGGCGGCGGGGGTGGGGGGGCCATGAGCAGGAACAGGGCCGTCCAAACCTTGGGCTCCCCATGCACGGAGATTTAACCCTCGGGCACCCCCTCACCACGCCATCTGGCCCTTCTAGCTCTGGTTTTCTGTAAGTCGCCGGAAATCGAGAGAGAGGGGGTGGCTTTGTGGGCAGGTGGGCACTGCCTGTGTCCCTCCACCCTGGTCACCGGGGAGCAGGGCCTGGTGGGCTTCTCAATCCGAGGACCACAGTGTCCCCTTGGAGGAGCTCACCGAGTCCACAGATCCCAGAGCCGTCCCAGCCCGTGTCCCCACCCTCTTGGAAAGGTACCAGGGTTCCCTCGGGGAGGACAGGGCAGTGATGCCTCCCTGCCCCCGAAGCTCCACTTCCCCGAGTGGTTATGTCTCTGAGGGCGGATGCTGAGTCGCTCCTCCCTGGAAAGATGTGGAAGGTAGACCGGATAAGGCTTTCTGTCGAGAAAGACCCCACTTGTCCTCCTTGCAATTCATGGATTTCTGCAGCAGATTCTCTTTCCGAATTATTTTTGGCTGGGGCTGGTAGTACAGTTTTGAGCTCCCAAAGGCAGACCGGGGTAGGCGGAGACGAGGCTGGTGGGCAGGGGGGCCAGGCCCGGGTGGGACTCCTCCTTGCTGCCGCAGGCACCTGCACGCACCTTCGCCCCGCAGTTCTGTGGGCCTGTGGGGTCAGACCGACATGCGGTCATTCTCTAGAGAGACTCTGCTGTGTGCGGTCCCCACAGCAGCTGCCCAGGGAGGTGTGTCTGACCCGAAGCGACCAGGCAGCGTGCCTGCCGGCGGACACGGGGAACCGGTCACTTCTCATCTGGATGTTGGAGAACGTGGATGCCTCCAGTGAGGCTGGAGGGCCTGCTCAGCCCTCGCTGCCCAGGTAACCTGGCTTCACCAGCCGGGCTCACTATCCCCCCATTAACCTGTTGCTGACTGCATGACCTTGGCACTTTCAAATCAGCCATAGTCCCTTCGTTCTGCTTTTTTGACTCAGAATCCACAGGACCCATTGGTGCAGGGTGACGCCTCCTGTGCAGAAACAGAACCGAGCGCTGTGGTCTTTATCACTCTTCCGAGACTTCCATGGGACCTCGTGCTGGCTCAGCAGGCACGGTGGGCCCGCCAGCGCTGGGCAGGGTGGTGGCACTTACACGGATTTTAGCGCGCTGCCAACGGTCAGTTCCTGACTTGGGATGAGCCTCGTGCAGTGACAAGACAGCAGCAGGACAGTGGCCGTGTCTCCCTGTGATGTTGGGAGACGTCTTTGGAGGGCACCCGGAGGTCTGCAGCGGCAGAGCCCGTGATGTGCGGGCCTTTTCCCGTCTTCTCCGGAGAACTGTGTACGACTGCTCCAAGGCCAGCGGATGCTCAGTCGGTTGCTAAAGTGCTCTGGTACCAACCAGAGCAGCCTGGGCGGCACCTTCATGATGAGACCTGGCGTATCTTGTCCAGCACCTGGGGGCTGACCAGGATGAGGGGGTTGGACCATGGCTCTCCGGGAACAGAGTACAGGGAGACAGCCCGGCAAAGCAGGTTCGAAAGTCCCCCATTGCCGTGGGGGCCCACCTGGTCCTGTGCCCCCAGGCCTGTCCTTGACCATGCCATCCTGCCATTTCTATACCCCCGAGCCTCCGTCGCACATGGGGGCCCTTCCGACTGAGCTCAGGGAAGCCCCGCATTGCAAACCCAAACCGCCGGTTCCACACACTGAAACTCAAATGATCCGCAGGGTGTTACCTGCCATTTAAAAATTTCTAAGTGTGTCTGGAGATTCAGAATCTGGCACACTTTTCGGGTTTGAGAACGCTAGTCACGTGACCAAAAGTGTGGCGGCATCTTTGACAGTCTGGGTTTCTAGGGGTTTTCCTGGGAAGCTGGGCCTGGTCCCCGGGGCGGCCGCCGTCCTGCTGAAACGGCTGGGGAGACACTGCTTCTGCTAACGTCTAAAAGACAAATTCATAACCTGGAGCTACAACCGTTCTGCTCGGGATTCAAGGGAATCGTTTCACTGATTCATCCAATAAGGTCACCAACCAGACCTAGAACCTAGAACCTAGAACCTAGAACCTAGAACCTAGAACCTAGAGCGAGAGGACAAGGCTCCAACAGCTACAGTGACACATCTGGAAAGGACCCGGAGCTACAGCAAGTCGGGTGGAAAATGGCCCGCACTTGGAGTCAGCCGGCAATGACGGCCAACGCCGGCCGCCCTCTCAGCAGCCCCCACCCCTGCCGTGGACGACGCTGTGCGGAGCAAATCCCAGTTAAGGTGCCAAACAATGTACAAGCATTGCTTTCAAATTTAGAAAACAGAAATGGTATCTATTCAAACTTCACAAGTCAAAGAAGGAGCTAATTCAACCAGTCATTCTCAATTCTACCCATGAGGAGCAGGACATTATTATGTAAGAAATCAGAAAAAGGTAGGAGTTCCTGTAAAATGCAGAACTAATAGACAACAGCAGCGGGCATTTCGGAGGTCAAAATGCAAGCCCGAACCGGGTAAAGAAATGACTGCAGAAGCGGGAATAAGAGATGGGCCCTGTTTTTTTTCACTTTATCGTTTCCTCTGTCAGACGCCCTGAGGAAGTTCCAGACGATAAGGTCACCAACCAGACCTAGAACCTAGAACCTAGAACCTAGAACCTAGAGCGAGAGGACAAGGCTCCAACAGCTACAGGAAGTTCCTGTGGCTGCAGCCACGAATCCACAGTCAGAGCACTGGACATCATGCTCCTTCCGCCGGTGGACACCATGTTGCTGCCACCTATTTCTGCTTAATCGTTTACTTGTCAATAAACTCAGCAGCATCACTTAACCGTGGCCTGTGTTCCAGTGGCTCAGACCGGCAGGCTGGTAGGCACATCAGACCCAAGGAGGCCAAGATAAGGCACAGTGGCTGGAGGTACAAGCAGGTGCTTGAAATATTAACTAGTAAGGGAGGGAAGTGAGGCCCCATCCAGCCACTTTGACCACTAGACTTTATCCCTGTAAGGACTCCCTAGTTTTAGGAAAGGGGCTCATTTGATTAGCACTTTAGAAAGCCCATTGGGAAGCATAGACTTGAAGCCAGCAAGACTGGTGACAAGGAGATGAGTTAGAGAAAACCAAGGAAGAGCTGGTGGAGGCCTGGACTCGGGTGGCCGCTCTGGGGACGGCTGGAAGTGGGAAGGAGGGAGAACGGTCAGAGTTTGGAGATTTCCTGGCCGTGTGTCCTTCTGCCCCGCCCCCCCGCCCAGGGGTAAACTTCTGAAGAGCAGAGTCTCTGTACCACACGCCTTTGTATTCCATTAAGTCGCCTCTGCTGCTTACCAGCAGGTTAGGTGTTTGATAAATATTGGTTGAATTAATAGGAAAACTTAAATATTAAATACGAGCAGACACCACAAATACTGGATGATACAAGCCTCGCCCAGTTAACTCGATCGCACTCTCCCCAGTGGAAGTCATTTCTCGTTTACCTTCGAAGACTTTGTCTCCTTCTGCAAGTCCACCCTGCAGCTCTTGGGTGCTCTGACCACGGAAGAGTCCGTAGGTGACAATGATGCTCCCGTTCGAAAAGGAGTCGCTAATGGCAAAGATGCTGCTGACCCACACTTGGGTCCCCAGAACGGCGCAAATCACCACGAAAGCCCCAAAGCTGGTGAAGAAACTCGATAAGAACATCAATGTTTTCTTTGTCGTTGGCATTTTTCCAGGAGGGAGCGAAGAGATATTTCTAGGGTAATTTTGGCCCTTATCAGCAGAGGTCCAGAATTTAGAAATGAAGGCTAATACTCTGTTGTAAGACAGAAGAGCGTGCTTTTCATAGGAAGGTTTATCCTAATGCGTGTCGGACTATGAACATGGTCATAAAGATTTCCAGCAGCTGAACTTTGGTCTGGAGTAAGCAGTTGCTATGGTTACAGCCAACCGGCAGGAACAAGGGGTGGGTGTGATGTTCCCGAGTCCTCCTCAGTTGTATAATTAATCTATTGACTCTTTGTCAAGTGCTCTGGAAGTGAGTTCAGCTGCCGTGTCAGGACAGGACTAGAATTTCTAAATAATGAGGAAGTGGGAGATCTGTACCCCCAAAACGCTGCTGATTCTAGCAGCCAACACCATAGGTTCTCAACTCATTTATGAATTGCTTTACTGGTTGACGTGACCCTAACAATTGTTCCAAAAGGAAACTGTAAAGAGAGTAAGCCTTTGCTAAAGGTACCAGGGTCTTTTGTACATTGTCGCCTACCATCTTGAAATTGCAACTTGTATTTCTTCCTTGCCGAGGAGTAAGTTTGTAAAATGATTATGTGATTGTTTCTATTTTTGGTATTTATTCCTGTTGTTTCTAGTTTTTATTATTTATTTGTTTCTATTTTGTTATTTGTTTGTACTTTTCTATGATTTTGGTCAAACAGTGTGTTCTTACAATATTTACTCTTTGGGTTTCATTGATTTTTTGTAGCCAATTGATAAGCCACTTTTATAAAGGTTTGCAACATTTTTTTTATCACTCGGCACTATTCTGTTTTACAGATTCACTATCGTTCATTTAACAAAGTTCTATGGTGAACAGTTTAGCTCTTATTAAATTCTTTGCTCATATGATCTTGCTCCGGTACAGATTGTTAATTACAGCTTTAGGATGAATTCTCAGAGAAGAATGACTGGTTTGAGCAGACAGTTTTGGATTTGGGGTAGCAGATACAAGCTGGCCTCCAATACATAATCCCACTTGCAACATTTAAGAAAGTCCTGTGTTTTATAGTGCTGGAAAATTCTGGCTACTAAGTTTTTAAACTGTGACCAGCTTTGTAGGTAGTAGCATTACAATGGTATGATCCGCCTGTCTGTCACAATAGTTTCTCCTCTTCTCAAATTTCAAGCAGTGGCCCGTTACAGTATGTAATCTTCCGTGTCTGGCTTATTTTGTGATTTATCAGGATGCACTGGGATTTGTTTATCCATTCAACAGCTGATGGACATTTGAGTAATTCACATTATTGACTATGATGAATGAGGTCCTTATGAACATTTGAGTAGAAGTCTTTGTGTAGATTTATGCTTTCTTTTCTCCTGGGTAAAGATGTAGGAAATTAAACACCTGGACGCAGGGGTACCACGTGTAACTGTAGAAGAAACTGACAGTGTTTTCCAACGGGGTGTACCCAGGGGCATCCCCCCCCCCCCCCCCCGGCGATGGCCCGCAGTTGCTGTTGGTCTGCGTCCTCTGCAACACCCGCTGCTCTCCGTGCCTTCCGGTTTGGCGTGCTGAGCACCAAGGAGGGAGCGGCTCACGGCGGCTTTGAGTTGCATGCCACTGTATTAACAATTCTGAACAACTTGTTAGATGCTTTCTGCCATCCATATACATTTTTGTTGGCGAAGCATCTTTTTGAAGTCTTCATTTGTGAAATGTCGTCTCTTAACCTGGATACACATTATAGAGATTGCTCTGTGTCGTTTTTTCTCTCATTCATAGGTTGTCTCTGCAATCTGCCCACTGAGCTCGTTGCAGGGAAGCTGCTCCGTATCACATTTCTGAGGTCTGGGCTCCGTTTGGTGGCATCTCACCTCCAGGCACACCCGCTACCCTTGTGCTGGGCTGTCTTTAACCTTTAGTTCGCCATTTTCTCTCTCATCACTTTAGTCCTTTATCTTTTCCCTCTGCACCCACTGTTACTTCCCTCCAAAGTGCAAACCTTTCTGGGAGACTCAGGGATTGTTCGAACTGAGGTCCAATGTGCACAGATCATCCATTTCAGGTGTAAAACGTGATGATCTGATATCTGCACATGCTGATGTGAGTGCCGGGAGAAGTCTAGTCACCGTACATAATTACGATCATTTTCTTGTGGTGAGAATTTTCACTGGATGGAATGAACAGAAAATTAAGCACTGTAGAAGGGGAAAAAACAGTACATTTAAATGTATAGTACTAAAAATGAGCAAAACTGAAACAGAGAACAAAAAAGGCTTAAAAGTTTATAAAGCCCCAGTGACCCGTGGGTCACTATTAGGTGACATCACCGGGGTCTAACTGAAGTCCCAGAAATGGAGGAAGGTGGACGACATTCTGAAGAACCTATGGCTGACAAATTTCCAAATTTGAAGAAAAGTACAGACCAATAAAGCAAGAAGCACGGCGGATTCCAAGCACGGTAGACACAAAGAAAACCACACTAATAACACACTTTAATCAAATTTGTATTTAAAAAGCAACAGTAAGGAGAAAATCTTGAAAACAACTACAGAAAAAAAAGATACATCACCTAAACTATCAACAGAAGTAATAAAACATAAGTCTCACACAGGCCTGGCCGCGTGGAAGAAACTGGAAATAAAGGAGCTGATGCCGCCACTTCCAAGGTGACAGAGACGGAGCGGAGCAGACGTCCCAACAGGGCCAGGAGGGACGGCCCTCGGGGGAGGGGCCTGAGGGACCGCTCTAGGCTGATGGCAGTGTCTCGCGTGGTGAGCAGGACATGGCATTCTCTGGTGGCGTGTTCGTCTTTCTTCATCTGCCTGCACAGTTAGGGGCCGCCTGTGCATTCTCCGTGGTGGGCAGGAGCCCAGGAAGGAAAAGTAAGAGTTAAAATGCCATGGGGACCCGCAGGAGAAAAGCAGTCTTCGCTGTCCTGAGGCAGGACGGGAGTCTACTGTCACCGGGCCTGTCCTCTTGGCCTCACGGGTTAATGGCCGCTCATACCTGGGGGAGGGGGGACAGCACCTGAGCAAGGTAAAACTCGGAAGTTCTGGGCCCGTTGTTAGAGCCATTCATTCCGGCACGTTCTAGAGACCAGACTGGCCATTCTGAGTTTCCTCTTTGTGGGGACAGGCCCTGACGTCAGTTTTTCCTTGCTTGCCACGCCCTGCAGCCAGTCACTCGCCACACCTGCCCGTGTCTCTGAGAGTAGCGGTGCGTCAGTGTTCCTGTCCAGCCCGCTTTCTGCCAACCAAGGTGACTTTGGCTCAGCCTCCCAGAGAGCGTTTCTGGCCTGAGCGTTTCAATTTTAATTGACATTGACTGAGCCCTAAAGGCACGAGGAGCATGAGTTACCTGGGTTGACCCGAAGAAGCTGAATAGCGACCGCCACAGGAAAACGGTCTGCAGCCGCACTGCACAGGGGAGAGGCCACAGGGCTTGGTGAACGGTCTGCAGCCGCACTGCACAGGGGAGAGGTCACAGGGCTTGGTGAAGAGCAACCAGGTGGGGGTTGTGGCGGAACGGGGCTGGGATGAGGTTCGACGGGGCATCCAGGCCTGGAGAGGAAGCTGCGGATTGAATGAGGGCTGAGTCCCGGGCTCTCGGAGGGCGAGGGGCTGGAGGCTGGGGGAGGTCCTCAAAGCCCAGGATGGGGAAAGAGAAATCCCCTGATGTCGGCAGGGGCCTGGGCTGGATGAAGGTGGTTCGAGAAGGATCCAGGGCTCCGTATGGAAATCAACACAACTCTGCCTTTGTGTGACAAGGACGAATGTCCTTAGACATTAGATAAAGTTGAGGGACGGTGCTAAATTCCTGGAAGAACCTCTGGGGTCCCACAGAGAGGATATTACCAGGAGAGAAGAGCCATCTGCCCCTTGTCAAGTTACCAGGGCTGCAGACTTCCCCACAGCAGATACCCGACAGAGGCGACTTGTCTCTCTCCTGGGTCCCTGCAGGGCTAACAAGCAGAACTGTGTTTGTCAGAGCTTTGAAACGAGCCCCTTCCCCTCCAGAAGCCTGGCCCTGCAGGTCCCCTCTGGGAAGTCCAGAGCTGGGTGACATCACTGGGCTACCTGGTCCCCCAACCCAGGAGATCTTTGGGGGCCGCTCAGAGGGGGCTGCCTGCCCTGCGGGGCTCCAGGGAGACAGGCTGCCTGGCGATGCCGGCTGGGGCCCCTCCTCCTCTCATCTGTCAGCCCACATGCTTTCCCTGAGCCCCTCCCGGCTCTGGGCATTGGGTCCAGAGCTCTAGACGGGGAGGTGATGGAGGAGAGGTGGGGGCGGGTGGGGGTTGAGTCTGAGAGCGCACAGCACTGAGGGAGGGGCAAGGGAGGCAGAAGGGGGAGGGCTGGCACCAAAGAGGTGAATACACCTTGAGAGAGTCCAGAGGGTCTATAAGAAGGTGGGGGCAGGTACGGGGGGGGGGACAACCCCCCCTCCCCACCCTCCACCCCCACCCCTGCTGGGACATGCTTGTCTCTGACACCCAAGGAAAGCTTGAAGGGGGGGCAGAGGCTCAGGAGCAGCGGAGCCATCAGGGGCAGCCCCTCAGGAGTCAGGGTTCTGTTCTGAAGGACAGCTGGCTCTGGGCAGGGGACTGGCCTGACCGGGTTTCGTTGTGAGGGTCCCCCGGATGGTGTATGGAGAAGGGACCGTTTGAGAAAGTCTGAGTCCAACACTGGGGGGCCGTGGCCGTCAGCAGAGAGAGGAAGGAAGGCAGTCGGCCGGAGAGAAGGGCACACGTTTGAGGGCCCCGGGCGGCTGGACAGCAGTGGCTTGGAGCCTGCTCAGAGGCGGCAGCAAGGTGCGGGCGGGAGGGGCCTGCGCTGAAGCTGAGCCAGAGAGTGGGACCCGGGCCTGCGCCTCGGAGCCGGCCAGCTGGGGTGGCGCCTGGCGAGGAGGAGTCCCAGGGGCCGTGTTTTCTGGGTTCCCTGTGTGAGGCAGTGTTTGAAGCCCTAGAGCTGGACAAGAACTCCCCGGGGACAGCAAGCCTCGGGGAAGGGAGGTTGACTTCAAGTTCTCCACGGGTTCCTAGGCTCTTCCTACCCCGTGGAAAGGACACGGCACCCAGGACAGGTCATCTGTGGTGGTCTCAGCCAGTCGGCACCCATTGCTCTTGTCTTTGGGGTGTGTGGCTCTGTCCC